CCCCAAAACCCCAAAACCCCAAAACCCCAAAACCCCAAAACCCCATCATTTTAAATAATAAAATTTATAAGGAATGGATCTGAAGGTAAATTTTAGAGGATTTTCAGAAATCCCTTAAGCCTGTTATACAACAAGCCACTGTTTTTATAGACACCTCCAAGGAGCACTCATCGGAAGAGAATGAGCCTTGATAATAATGGATTGTCAAACCCTATCTTAGAGAAACTGAGTGATTTTCAGGAAAAACAAAAGGAGTTGTTCACTTTTGTATTGAGTAAAAACAATGAAATATGCCAAGCTATTGATGAACTTAAGCATCAATTTGCCCCAACTCCTCTGGACTTAAATGGATATACTAGGAAGAAAAGGGAACGTAAAAGTTATGTATGTTCAAAGAGTAGTAGCTTACTTCCCTCCGTTCCAGAAGAACCTGTAGTTTCAATTGAGGAAAGTAAGTGTATTATTAACTCCAACAGAATAAAAAGGAAATGAAGTTCCTGATGATCCTTAAGAAGAAAATCAAACAAGCTCATGGTTTAGTTGAGAAAGAAAGAGATGAAAAGAACAAGTAATTACCATTCTCCTCTGTTTTTGATCTTTGCTTTAGACTTCTTGTGAAAGTCACCGATCTTGAAAAAGTCATCAAACAACTACAATTCAAAGTTGAACTCCATTCTTCCATTGAGAAGGATATTTCAAAGAGAAGGTCGCACACTAAGCGTATGAATATGGTTGAGTTTGGCATGCAAACAGAGGACATAGCTCGAGATGACTCGATAGCCCCTGAAGTCACCCAGGTCAGTAGGATTGAAGAGAAAACACAAATTTTTGAGATAGAGCCTCAAGAAATTCCTTTGCTCAATCTTGAATCCCCAAACAGAAATACAGAAGATGAAGAGGTCAAAGAGATCGTTATAGAGAAAATAAAGGAAGAAGAAAAGTGTTTTCAACAAAAATCAGAGAGAAATGAGCATCTTAAATTGAAGAAAAGCAGAAGTATAGGAAAACTGCTTCGAGCAAAATTAAAGAACAAATTATATCGCAAACCTAAAAAGAGGAACAATTCACAAAGTGATATCTTGAGTGAAAGGTTCAATGGATCACATCCTAAGTATAATCAGCTACTTTCTCTAGTTGAGACCCTTTCGACTGAGAACAGTGAGAGTTTCCTTTATTTCTATAGATCTTAAGAAAGGCAAAAAGGGGAAACATACTAATACTATGAGAAAATCTAATAGAGCTTCTACTCCGAGGGACATAGGATTAGATAAGAATGAGCCAAACTTAAAATCATCGAAGATTCTAAAGAAGAAAAGTACCATGTCAAAGGAGAAGCTTATCAACAAGAGATTTAGCAAAGGAACTGCTGTAAGATACCCTCGAATTCTCATCTTTAGGCTGTGAGGAACGGTAGCAAAAGAAGAGGTACAGATTTCTATAATTGGAAAACCCATACTAAGGAGAAGGACAAGTTCTGGCAAGACCAAGTCCATAGGCTAATGCAAGAGACCAAGAACTACAAACAACTACACTTTAGGTAATTATCTAGAAAGTTTGAAGGAATGAACCGTGTATTTAGCCAAAAGCAAGAAATGAGCAAGTTGAAGAGACAAAATGAAGACCTGAAAAGAAAATATCTTATCTTCAAAAAGAAAGTCAAGGAGATCAGAGAGACCAACTCTAAGATGCCTAAGCCACAGGAATACGAGTATGAGTAAGAGAAGATTTTGGTGATTTTTTATAGTGTCAAAGTTATCAACCAGAATATGGATCGACTCACACAAAGTCAAGGTATGTCACAGATCATGTTCTTTTGAATCATAGACACTAATTTATCTTTTGATAGAGTCATTATTTGATTCAGGAAGTAAACAGACAACAAGTCAATACAGAGAAGAGCCATATAGCATTTTCATCAGGAGTTCTAGCTCAGTTCAAAATGTAACAGTAGATATTAAGGATTCTAAAGGTAAGCTCCTCTTTCTAACCCCAGATGGTCACAGTATTGGATCATCAAAAATGACTTCTCCTATAAAATCCAAAAGGAAGAAGATAAAGAAGGTATTTTTCTCTTCATTTTACTTGAATACAGAAGAGACAGAGGCTTAAAAAGTCTGATTATTTAACCCGCAAGAGAAGTACCTCAAGGTGTAATTCTGCTAAAAAGCTGAACATCAACGATAGTATGGCTGATTGCAACGCTGCAACTATAAAGAACCTTTCTATGAGCTTTGCTATAAAATAAATTGTTGATTCATTATCTTTTTCTAAGTCAGGGGTTTTGGGGTTTTGGGGTTTTGGGG